TGAATTTAATTAGAAATCAAGCTACCTTTATTATCATCCTTTCATCTACTAATAATTTGATAAATGTAGTGAAAAGACAGAGGTCAATAATTATACAATAAATTTTGATTTTTTTTTATTTACTTTATTTTATCTGCAATAATTACAAAAATTGTTTGTTATCTTTGTTATGCATTTCGACAAACTGTTGAATGTTTTAGTTTACGATATTCTAGGAGATATTTTCCGAACCGCCACGTAAAGAAGTTTATATTTATGTTTTCTTTCACGCATTGTGGTTTTCGGATTTATTGGTATACTATATTTAATTTAAGATCAAAAGCTAATATTATTAAAATCCAATTAAAGAAAAGGAACACAAGTTGTTTCAGTTCAAGAGATTTATAAATTATTAAACAACAAACATATCTCTTTGAAAAATATCAATTTAACTTACAAACAATTGAAAACAAGAGCTCCATTTCCTATGAAAATATTTTTTTACAGGATTTGCCTTCCATCACTTCAACTATCATCAAAAGTATTGTCTGCTGGATAAATATCGGCGATTCTGTTTCAATCAATTTTTTCGCCCATTTTGCTTAATAAAACCGAGCGTATCTTCCATGAAAGCGTAATGGGTTACCTAAATGGGCGATTTTTCCGCGCATGTAATTCCGTTCGAATCCCGCTAGGCTTTGATTTGCGAAATGCGAATTTTTCGATTAAAATGGAAAGCCCCGTGGACGTACTAAATTAGGGCGCGGAGGGAGTTAGGGTGGAGGCAGTGGCGTCGGCATCCGACCATTTTATGGTTTTGGTGCGACGAATTACGGCACACCGCACAGTTTCCGACGATTTCGTCGTGCACGTGAACGGAATTGCAGCATATTTTACCAAAGTTTCTCTACGCTCCTAATAAATACAAACTCGCAGAATCGTAGAATAGTACAATCCATTCAAATAAATAAATATTGTTTGTATTACAAGAGTTACTGTACGTGTGAAAAGGGTGGTAAAAGGGGGTGAACCGGTGGGATTAATCTCTACATTCGGTGTGAACAGGCAGACAATCAATAGCGACAGCTTCGGCATACACATCTCCAAATTCGGGAACCAATCAAACGCATCGTCGTAATTAATTGTTTACAAAGCAACCAAATAGATTAACGCTTTTACTTTAGTTTGTATACATAATTTGGTTTGTTCACGATAATGGAGTACTTTTTGTATCATTTTACTAATTATTAGCAAATACATGGAAATTGATGCTCTGGTATGCGACAAACTATAAGAAAATGTACTTATAAATTAAATTTCACTTATTAGTTACTGTTTAGTATTGTTCTTAATAAATAATATAACATTCTATTGATTTGGCAAGAAAGTAATTTCGGATTTTTTAGTTTGAATTAAATTTAATTTTTTTTATATACAAAAAATGAACTTAAATTAATTATATATTTTCCATTTAGTCACCTTTTGCCATCTTTCTGGAAACTTCATGATTCCTGGCTCATAGAACTACTAGTCTTTATCAGAAAAAAATCATCATAATTAGTTGAAGTTTTACCATTCAACAAACAGTTTTGAAAATTATGATGCGATATCAATTCCCAACCAAATGTCCACAAGTTACCAAAGATGTGCCAATTCTGACCATTTTCCTTTGATTGCTTCTATTATTAGTTGTTGACAGTAAACATATTCTTTGATCATTTGGTGTCTTGGGTGCAGCTCAAAATACACAACACCTTTGTAATCCCATCAAATGGATAGCACGATCTTTTTTGATGCAATTCTTCTTTGGATGATGTTTGTGCCAGTACCCTTGGAACTTGATCTTTTTCGATTGATCTTATTGTAGATAATCAATTTGAAGTATTATTATACTTTATTATAAACAGTAGAATTTTAAGTTGTTTGAAATATATCCATCAGTATCAATACGTAAAATATCTTAGTTGATAACTTTAAATATTTTACTTACTTATTTTAATCTACCGTAAGAATTATCAAAATAGTTTTGAATTGCACACAAGTGTAATAAATGCTTTATACTGTAATTTTCCATGTTTGACTCAAATATATTAGTATTTGTCAATTGATTAATATTGTTTGGTGACTTTGATTCCATTTTCTATGCGATACGCTGTAAAATTATACGATGACTGCAATAAATACAAGAAAAGAAAGAACTTGTATTTCAATTCCGGTTCAGAAAATAATTTCCTATTATACTAACTCATTCCAGGCTCACTATTATGTAATTAGGAAGTTTTGCTTATTGTATAAGAGTGAGAAGAGGTCGTGGTTCGCAATCCTCGGGGGACGCTTGGCAATAACACGACCATGGTATTAATGTTTTCTCCTTTCGCTCCGCTCGCCAAGAATAATAGCTCTTTGCATACTGTTTTAACGTGTTTTCATTTATTTTCATTTACGATCAAACTCAAATATACATCCCGCAGGACATTCTATTTACCTTTAGATTTTTTTTCATTTGCTGTATCACTAACCTTTCTCTATTTTCAATTATACAAGTTAATCACATACATTTATTTCATTTTCTATAAATTTATTAATATGCCTCCACTAACTAATAAAGAGAATTTATGTATGAGTGAGATACAATACAACAAACAGCATATGATAATAAATTTCATCAACAACGTCCAAATGAAATGCACCGCATATTTCAGTTGTGCGCCAAACAAAAATCTAGTTGTGATTTATTATAACTATTTTAAGGGTATATGTGATAACCATAAACGTAATTGATGAATATTGAAAGCAAATCTATAAATCGTCCGTGATTAAAAAGTTTTGACATGAAATATCATTCGGATTCAAAATCAATGCGCACAATAAATTACTAATTATAACTGTGTTTTTCTATATACATTTTTTTAATTTAGCATTATCTTTGAATTTTTCTACAGTGATGTACATAGCTATAATAGCAATAAATATTAATTCTGATCTACTCTACTCTACAAACTTTGGAGAACATTGTTTACTCTATTCTCATGAGGCCCAATCGATACGAGTCCCCAGAAGTTTCCTACATCCCTGCCAAGTACATCTCTACGCAACACACGAGATTAACTGTTAAATCACTGAGAGCGCATTAAAAATGTAATCAAAGTTCAGATTGTTATTTGACTTTGTCACTTGAAACTACATGAACAAAACTATGAAACGAATTATAGCTACCTTAAACAAAGAATATGCAGTCACAAAAATAATCTAGTAATTATGAAATACAAATTTGTAACTTTTATCTGCAATTCGAACGTGAGTGTACTTCCCACATTGAGTAAAGAAACGATTGAGCTTGCAAACAAAAAGAAAACAAACAAACTTGAACTGTTGAAAGGGTGAAAGAAAATCGGTAAATCTTTGTTTCAAAAGTTTTCAAAGTAAACTTAATTAATATCTCACACTCTCGATTAAATTTTCTTCAAAGAAAAACGTTTCGTTCTAATGTAAAATAAAGTTTGTTCTGCATTTATTTTTTGTTTATAAAACATATAACTTTATCAGATTATATTTTAGATTAGATAAAATTTAATATTAAACAATTATGTATGACGCTCCTTCCAATTTGGCTTATTTATACAACAGGTATGCAACAGATGTATATTATATTAAACGGCGAACGGCAAACTTTAAGTTTATGCAGTAATTTACTGCTGACATATATATCAAATACAAGAAACTCAATAGCAGTTTCTGTTATTTTTACTTTACTTATTAAGCAATTCAGATTTATCGAGAATTGTTCCACGCAAATTGAATATAAAATAGTAAGCAATATTATAATCTTCGAAAAAAAAATATTATTAAGAAACAGTTATTCAAATATGTATTTACTAGATTGTCAAAAACTAATACTATTGATTTTGCTATTCTTCTCAAATCATAAAATGAACTGTATGATATCCCCACGTTTTTTTCAATGTAATCTATATTTTTTTCTGAAAATTTTCGTTGAAAGCTGTAGATTTGATGAGAGGCAAATATAGGTCAAGAGCGAATCGCGTACTTGAATATTTTGCAATAACCGTTGAAACTTTCTCTATTTATGCGATAATTGGTTTTGATTTGAAACCGTAGCACTTACGTGTACATATATTTTTGTCGGATCTGATGGGGCGGATTCACCAGGCCACGCTCTTGAATTGAAGGAGAAATTGATAAATGTCATTTAATAGAAAGGAATGGATACAGCTGACTGCGACGGCGGAGAGGCCAAGTGCTCTCAGAATATAAATTTAATTTAGTATTATGTTTAATATTTATATTGAAAGCAGAGCTTGGAAATGCAGTGAGACTGCTACCGAATTGATTGATACCTAAAAATAACCGCGAAAAGGGACAACAGTCACGTAACAATCATCACTAACCTCTTCCACGAATTTAGATTTATATTTTTATTACACTTAAAATATTAGCGCACTGTAAACTTCATAACAGTGAAGAGTTTCGGATTCTGTATTCTTACGTCAATTCCAACACAGATAATGTGCTTTTTACGACAAAATTTAGCCTGCCTTTTTGTCGAACTTAAGCACCAATAACTTTCCTCTTTTACCTTTTCTTATATTCTACATTCCACTTTTTTTAAGGAAGGTCACTTAGAATTACGTGCTCTAAATTTCACTCACCAGGTACACAATAAGAGCCAAGATCTTTCTGTGCAATTAGATAAAACCGAAAATACCGGTAATTTTGGTTATCATATTGGCCGATTAAACCAGTTAACTAGAGTGGATGCAGCATTACATAGAACATTCATAATAACAGTACTGGCATTAGTTTTCTGGTATAATGTGTAAAGTACACGATATTCAGTGAAACAGAGCACTTTTATTTCCATTATTGTGGAATGGTTGTATTAAACCTAATTAGATTGTAACGTGCGTCCATATTGTAAATCCGTCGGCCATGTTAGACCTTGTATGTAAATTGTGCCCTTAGGAGAATATACTGTGCTAACGTTTGACCTTTGATTTCAGTACCGCCCCAAGGCGTACAAGTGAGTGACGACCGTGGACCCATCAAAAACGGAATAACAACGGCCTACGCAGAGGGCGCTAGCCTCACCCTTACTTGTTCAGCAACTTCAGGTCAGTATGACGCATATAAAAAAATGAGAAGAAACGAAAACGTTCCACGTCACTCCATCAACTCCATCATATTGCAACCACAAAACAAAAAGTAAAAAACCATTTGTTCCGGATTTCCAGAATTTGTCAGCGTCAGAGTGAATTATGTCGCAAAACTTAATTAATCGCCCTGGGGACGATCGCCTGGCAGGATTTAATATTTTCTTTCCAAACAAACTCAAACTTCTCCGTCGCAACATAATCAAAATAGTAAAACTAATTATACAGATCATATTTACAGAGTTTGACATACTTTAAAGTAAACCTTTATTAAGTTTACATTTTAACAATAAATATTAGGATAGATAGTTTATGTGCGATTTACTAGATGCAATTAAGATTTTATAAATATTAATTTTAAGTAAAACCCCAAAAGCACACGCTTTATTCTTAGATCATAACAAATTGGCACTTAAAGAGTTTACAGTGGTCTCATTTATCTAATGTCTTATATGTGACGAAACATTTTATCAGTAACCAAGAAATTAACGAAATAAAGTAAACCAATTGTCAAATAGAAATTTAATTTTTAAAAATTGCATATAGCAAAAAGTTAATTATTTCATTAATTAAATTCATTACATTCAAAATTGAATATATGTTGTTAATAATAATAAACATAATTTAGTGCATATGTTTTTATTAATGCATACATAATATGTTCTACATATTATTTCTGTTTAAGTTCACTAAATTTGTGTGATTTCCGACTATAAATCAGAAACACATCTCGGGTGTCCCCACGAAGAGCATTAATTATTTTATAAATCTCCCTCTTTACCGCGTTTTCTTTTCATTTTCATTTTGCCGCTTGATTTACGAACGACACTCACTTATATATGAATGATATTTAAGGCAAAATAAAAACGGAACACAAAGATGCAATAAGAGTGGAAATGAAACATGGAAAAGTTTTCCGCTCGAAACAATCAAAGAAACCACTATATCATTTCCGACAGAAGCGTCGGATGGTTTTTCTTTTTCTATTCTATTTTTTTTCCTTCTCCTAACATCTTCGGATCTCTTTCCTTGGCGTGCACTCCGCTCGCATTGCTTTAGGCCCTTTTTATGCGCCCATTTTCATCCACTTTGCTTCCACCTGCCAACTAACAAATGGCCCATCCCGAGGCTTTAACGCTGAATTTACAAATCCCTGGTGGAGATTAATGCACCGTCTCGAAAACAACCAACAGGATGAATAAAAAGTTGATGATGAAAAACAAGGAGCACGGCGCGAAGACACTTAATTTATTAACGGACTTTTTCCACTCGCATACAGATTTGTAAGGACGCCCGATCTCTCATTAAGCTACCAATTAATATTTGATTTAATTTTTAATTAGTGCTAATGATCGTTTAATGAGCATCTATGAATTGTATTTCATCAAATAACAACTTAAGTAGATTTTAAAAATGTATTTTGAGCTTTACCTTTATTTTTATTTCATTTAATATCTTCCACTATAATTAACATTAGTCCTTGATTATATTTCATTTTGATTAGTTAGTTTTATCAAGTTGATGTATTTTCTCACACTTTTCATAATTTATAATAATAATTACTTGAACGAAAATATTTACAATTTTTATTATTTATTAACTTTACTATTTATTTATTAATTGAACATATGTAAACTATTAATTATGTACGATAAATAAAATTTAAAAAAAAGTAGACAATAATTGAGCAATGGTCCAACTGCATCAATAAAACATAAGAATCTTAGTATTGATTTAATTTTAAAGCACTACTCGCCTTATATATTATTCAAGATTAAAGTATATTCAATGCTCGAATATATAAGTACAGCGTACATTTAAATTTTCCCATATCAATGTGTTCATGAAGTATATCACGCAACAAAAAGTAATACAATGACATCTTGACTACCACTTACAATTTGAATATGTTAATTTATAGGTATGTTTGCATTTACATTTGTTTTATTAAATACGACTATTTCTTTCATTACCCTCATAATTAATTCGGACAATATCCCGGACTATTAGAAACCGGACTAATCGAAGAACATACATTACAAAAATAAATCTCATAAAGACAGACTTGACATAAAAGATCAATGAATAAAATAAATAATTTAGTGTATTATTTTTTAAGAATTGATATTTATTTTGCTGTATTAAAATTGAATTTTATCAATTAAAATAATAAAATTTATTTCCATAGTCATAGATAAATAAATACAAATAATTAAAACTATAAAATATATAAACTGTTTTACAAAGAATTGCTTAAGGGAAATAATAATATATACAAAATTAAGTTCACAAAAAAAACTGTAACGGAATTCTTCAAGCATTTATCAATTATAAATTGGGTTCTGCAAGTGTTATTTAAAAAAAAATATGAATATTAAATATCCTTTCACGACTTTTCGTGCACTACCACCATATATATATATCAGCGATAATTAACCAATTAACTTATACCTCAATACACACCGCGGATTCCAGTTTTAATGAGCATCTGTGTAGTTTGCGGATTATTGATTACTACGAAATTATACGCAGAATGTTTCTCTAATCATATGTACTCCCTTTAGGATCAATGCATTTATTCCTCGCTATAAGCATTGAAATTCGACGGTTGTTTGTTTATACGAATATTTATTATACTGTAAAATATTTAATCTGTGCAATTTGATAATTCATTTGATTGTGTACAACATACTGAAAATATGACTGGCTTTGTAGAAACTAGTGGATCTACAATAATTTTGTGACATATCCATTAATTTTATTAATAAATATTGATTGAAATACTATATTTGATTTTTTATATAAAACATTTTGATAATTATTAAAACAAAAATATCTATTTTGAATGGCAGAACCTATGCTATTAATTACATTATTTTTTTGCAAATATATGTTTCATCTTATTAACTCTATCAAATTATCTGAAACAACTTAGGACAAGTATAATTTCAATATAATATTTGTTTATGTAATTAGTTGTGATTATAATACTTCATAAATAATAATTATAATTTAAATTAGCACTAATTTTTATAGATTTCAATCAAAATATTTGCTAACATTCAATATATGCATCTCATTATCATTCATTTATCTGTCACCCAATTAATATATTTGTCCACTTAAATAACTTATGCACACATAAGTAGATTTTGGATATATTGGTAATTAAAATAAACATACATAAATTAATTATCAAAAATCCTTTTCTAACGAACGGAATAGATTAAAATATCAAAAAGAAGCAAAACGAAATCAAGTCTCTGGCTGTAAATAAATGTGTTTTCTTTTTGGTTGAAATCCATATATCAATCCTGGAAGATCTCCTTTCCTTCCATCCCACCCACACAGCTTTCGTGTATTTACATTTTGCGGCGCGCCAATCTGTAACTGTTGTCGGCCGAGGAACATTCTCCAAGGGCGGTTTTGCTCTTGCCTAAAGTTCTTTGTAGGGGCGGAGACGTTGCGCCGCTACGGGGGTGGGAAAATGTGGGCGCAACAAGAAGATTGGGTTGAGGAGGCGGCAATTCTACGAACATTTGCTACACAACAGACGAAAATAAATAATACACAAAAAAACATGCGGTCACTCAAACAAACAATCCGACGAGTAAATAGAAAATATAAAGGGACAAAAGGACAAAATCCAAATGCGTTACCTCGGATCTGACGAATGAAAGGATGCTTAGAATCTGAGTAATATTAGTAGGTGTCGAAATCGCAGTCAATATCGAAAATACCGAAGCGCCTTCTCCTTATGAAGAAAATTGACACGACAACTAATATAGAAAAACGGTATTGAATTTTCTATCGGATCAACTAAATTGATATACGAGATGGATAAGTGATGTTATTTATGATGGTGCAGTAATAGATTGCTTTCTTATGTTCTGTAGGCAAGCCGCTTGCCAGAGTGTCTTGGTGGAAAGGAGGCGAACTCATAACCAACGAAACCCAGTACTTCCCGGAGAGGAAACGCTCCCAAAGCATCCTCAAGATCGATAAGCTTATCAGAAGTCATCTATTGGCCGTCTTCAGTTGCGAGGTCAGCAATAGTCAGCTGCAGCCACCGTTGGTGGTGCGAGTTGCTATTGACATGTACTTGAGACCCTTGGAGGCCCGTCTTCAAGGACTCAACCATCCTCTCAGTGCTGGTAGACGCACAGATATTACCTGCAAATGCAAAGGATCCAGGCCACCTGCAGTCATCTCTTGGTGGAAGGTAAGAATCAATTATTTAAAATAAACATAGGCAATCAATTTATGACCGCCTCCAAATTATTTAACACAAGTTATTAAATTTTAATATTTCTTTTTGTAAACATCAAAATACATTTGAATTTAATTGATTTTTACTCATAACACAACGACTATGGTCGCATGTCGTATCCCAAAAATCGATTCAAAATGATGAGGTAGAATAGCATAGAGAAAACCAAGTATACATAGCAATTTAAAGACTTTGGCAAACTCATAACTTACTAATAGCTTGTTGAAGAAAATTTGAACAGTTTATACATGCGAATATATTTTTTTTTCTTTATAAGGAAATCAAATCATTATAACTTATATATTTCAGATTGTTACACAAATTCAATGATTTATGGAATAAAAATAATCATGCTTTCACCCAGTAGTTAGAAAAAGCAAAATGTAATAGATCCAATGTTCATAGACAAAAGGTCGATCATCGTTAAAAACAATCCTGACATGCCAACTGCAAAGCATTTATCATTTCCTCCTGAAAATATTTTGAACTCTGTATATATATATATTTATTTATTATTTATATGCTTGTAGGATCAAGGGAAAGACAGAGAGGCAATGTAATTAATAAAAGAGAGAAAAATAATTCTAGAATCGCGTGGAAGCGCCGGGCCCTTTAATTAAATCGTAGATTTCTTCTGCTAAGAGAACTGCTAATAAATTGCGATAATTAAACTTTTACTCTCACATTTATTTATTAGGGATCCATTATGAATAAAACGAAAGCAGGCTTTGTCGACTTGGAGTGGAAGCACGTGCTGAGAATATAAATAAGATTTTGTAAATGAGTTTAAGACAGCTAAAAATTAAACGTACAAATACCAAAAAAAAATCGTAAAATTTTGAATCTGTTATTTTATTTATATTAGTTGAATTGTAAAAAAAACACTAACAAATAAAATCAGCCCATGTGTTCTTTTAAATTAATTGAATCAAATGGAGTCAACAGATTAGTGCAAAATACAGAGAATTCATTAATGTCGTCATATTTCAACTTACATTATTTCATTAATATAATTAGTTTTTCGCATGGCTGTGGAGGGGTTTCCGAAAGAAAGATGCCGTGGATCGATTTAATTTTATTGCGAAGCCTCATGCAAATTGTAATTCCATTAGGGAGCAATTAATAATCTTATTATGACGGTGTCAAATGAGTATTTCACTGCACAACAAAATCGAATCTATCTCTCCGACACTCCCTTGTTTCATGTGCGTGTGGATGTGTATGTACATGTATCAAATAGGATGTTGCGTGCTACTTCTTCGTAATTGACAACTTAAAACATCTTCGCTTCTCCTTTAATAAAAAGAAAATTAACAAGCCCAGTGAAAATTGAGTTATAAGAGAGAGCAAGTTTCGTAATTAGACGCCGGCTGGAGTACATTTAGATTTATAAAACAAAAGCAAATAAAAACTTAAATAAATTGTAAAATATGAATATTCTGTAATTGATTAATTATTTTCCACAGTTCTTTCAAGTGACAATTACAATAGTTCATTTAATGAGTCGACATATTTAATCAACATACTGTTTTTTAAAAAAAAATTCTTTGTAATAATTTCGTTGCATGAGCAAATACGGCTACGTTGAAAATATAGAATATAGGCTTTGATCATGTCTGCGAACATACAGTCTTGTTTTCGGTGATTAATGGAAATACGTCCAAATTGTCACTTGGTCCCGATACCATTGGAACATACAAATGGCAAGTACACACATACTTGTACTAAAGGTAACATACGGCAATATCGTCTCCGCCTCTCTGTATTCAATCCAATTAATCACAAAGACGTCCTGCGTCGGCCATGTTTTATTTTCACGCCTCGAAGGATGTTTCCGGAAAACCGAAAATAAATATCTCACAACAGATCCACCGATTTTCATCTTATTAATCAACACCCGCTACATTAGGTTGATTAAATGTAGCTGTGAAGTTCATTGTGCACTAACTACAATGTAGGCTATTTTAATTACAATCTAATAACGTTCACTAGCAAACTAATATACTGCCAGAAGCTAAAGTGTGTATGTGCATGCATACTCATATGGTTTATTTATATCCCTTGGAGGGTTAATTACATTTTAAATATTCATAACAGTTTAGATCAAAGCACAATTTCCTATCCCGAAAGCAACGCAGTCTTGTTTTTTTTTTCATTTTTTGTTTGAAAAATGATGATGTAAATACGGAAAGAAAACTACATAGCAGATACAATTTGCCTTACTTATTTATTTATTAATAAAAAATATAGATCTTTACCAAAATGTTTGTATATATGACTATTGTCATTATATTAGACCAGGGGTCATCGAATCGGAATAAATGTGGAATTTGATAAAGTAGTTAAAAATAATAATCGTATATATTATTTAAAAATAAACTTTATTAGCCCATGTATTCTAAAAACCATTCCACCAGTTTATTTTATTTAATAATCCTACAGATTGCCTCGCATTATATAGAACGTCGAATTATATAATTTGTCGATGTATACAATATACATCTGTATATATATACAATAGTGCTTTAGTAAAACGGAGACAATTGTGCGGAGGAAGTGCTTAAACTTGGCTTAAAGACAATCCCGGTGAGTCGTCTTCAGTTTGTGCATTGTCTCTTCAAGTTAATTAACAGCAATTGCCGAGGAGAAAGAATCCGTTTGGCCTCTACAACAAACATATAAACACACATCAAGAGACTGAATATAAGTAAATTAAAAGCTATAAATTGACTTCATTTACTATCATATGTATATTAAATAAATAAATACAAAATGTAGCTTTGCTAAGAAATCTTTACTTTATAGTGTAAAGATTGTAAAGATGTTGCATCATGACATAAATATGCACCAATGAATGAAAACGTTTATTCTATTTCTAGTAATGTTAAAAATATTACATAGTTTAGTCAGCTAATAAATGGATTATAGCTGCTGTGAATATTTTTATGAATACCATTGACTTAATTAATTACTTTTACCAGTGGTAAAATTCGGAGCAACTGGAAAGAAAGCGAAGGCTTTGGGACAAAGAGGAACACACAACATTTTCAATTTCGCGTGCAAAACAAAAGTTAACGTCGAGTAATTCTGATGGTAATGCCCCCTAGCGACGCTTAGTCTAATGCATAATAGATTCCCCAAAGCACACGGGCGGTTCCGGGTCCGCCACCCCTCATCCAGTGCTTCTGTAAAAATGCGAGCACACACGTACAGAAGTGAATTATTCTTTTTATTTTCTCGTTTCATTCCTCTTCGGTATTCTACAGCTTTATGTATAAATATTTTTTCCCCTATCTCTATGCATAAGATTTAGTTTTATACATATTGCAAAGATTGAGTATTAAATGTTACCTAAGGGTAGTTACGGAAATAAAAGCTACATAACATTTATAATGAACATTTCATTTTAATTAATTTACTGTGTCAATGATTGTGTATTTGATTATTTTTAACAATATATACTTCTAATATCAAATAGAAACTGAAAGAGAGAGGAGTGTGGCAAATGTAGACCGATTTATTGACATATTTATTCTCAAAAAGAGGAAAAATGATAAAAGT